CCACCCCCCCCCACAGAAACTGGTTTCTCTCCCCCTAACACAGACTCACTTCTCCTTTGAAATGGTGGTCGTCTTAAATCGAGAACAGCCAGCGCCACCAAATACCACATCTCCTCCTGAAGTGAGGAGGAGGAAGGTGGTGTCGGGCGGGTATTTCCTAGCGGTTTCGTCGGGGGGGCAGAGTCAAAGGCGTGTTCTCCATGGGGGTCCTCTCCTGGTGGGGACAGCTTGCGTGCTAGCCAGAAGCTGTGTTGTGTTGTGCAGGTGGGATCTTGCCTTTAGTGTATTGAACACTGTCAGAGACAGCACCGGGAGGTCACCACGGGACACAGCGCTGTCCGCCCAGACAGAACACTGCCTCCTGAGAGAACTTCCCACAGGGACAGTTTAAAGACCGAGACGAAGAGATAGCACCCTCCCTTTCCCACTTCTCTGTTTTGGTTTTGGCTATTTGTGATGATACAGGGTCGGCATTGATGTGGTCCAGCCTGCAAATTGTTTTCCATCCTGAGTTTCAGATCAAAGAGTGTAACGCATCAACTTCTGTACGTACTGCTCTTTTGAAATTTGGGTCAACAAAATTATACAACCATCTCTACAGTCACTTTTGTATTTTTTCTATGTTGTGAAGACCAAAATTGTAATTTTATAAGTCTTTGATTCACTAAAATTATATATAATTTAAATGTATTTTTTGTATATTTAAACACGAGGAGTTCACAGACTATGCTTAAATTTCTATGCATGCATTTGGAAGCTGTTTTTACCTGTTAATGTAGTAATAAGTTGTATTCATAAAATACTGATCTGTGTTGCATTTCCAAATAAACTAGTGTGTGCTCTGCCTGGACTTGAAGCACTGAACGAGTCTAATGGTTTCCCCACACCCATCGGCCCGAATGCAGCAGGCAGGCCCATGGAAGAACTCCCATTCTGTTTCTGTGTTGGCTTCAAATCCTATTTTTGCCATTCACGATGGTTCTGCACTTAGAAGAAAAAGACGAAACTTTCGACTCCCTTACAGAATGACCGTCTCCGAGGCCCGGGGCAGTTCTGCCCTGTCCTGTAGGACCCCATGCGTCGGAGCCAGTGCCATGGCAGTGCGCTTGCAGTATTGGGTTTTATAGGGTTAAAAGATGAGGCTCTCTACTCCTGTAAAGATTTAAGGTCTCACAGCAGATGGTGTAAAATACGAGAATAAAAATACTTATAAGTCATCAAGGGTTCATCAGGGAGGCAGGGGAAAAAAGAGCTGATACCAAGGGCTCAAGTAGAAAATGGTTTGGAAATGATGATGGCAACATCTGTACAAATGTGCTCTTTACAATGGATGTATGGATTGTTGTAAGAGCCCCTCGGTAAAATGATTTATTAAAATAATTTTTTTAAGGCAAAAAAAAAAAAAAGATTTAAAGTCTCGGAAACCCCAAGAGGCAAGTCTACAGGGTCTCTGTGAGTCAGAATCAGTGGTTTTTTTGGTTGGGTTTCTGGGGGGTTTTGGCAGGGAAGTCATAGTGCCCAAATTACTTTTATTCCCAAGGCACTTTTGCATTTCTCATTTTTAGTGTGATAAAAGTAGATGGTATCATATGCAGCAAACCAATATATTAGAGAGGTTTGCGCCTGACTTTTCTAGTGCAAGTTGAGAGGGGACCTACTGTTGCCCAGAAATGCCTATCTTGTATTTCAATAAAATTGAGTGAAGTCCAAACGCCTAATCCAGAAAATGCCTCCCAGACTTGAACAGACCCCCCCACCCCCACCCCCCGAGGGACCAGAAGGTACCTCGTGAGCAGCCGTGGAAGGGTGAGACCTGGGGTGTCTGCCCTGTAACGCCGTGGGCTCCCCTCCGATGAAGGCACACTCCCTCCAGAGATACTGTAGCCCCACCCACCTGGGTCTCTGAGTACAGAGACCTCTCACTGGTGTCAAAGGCCACAGTGCTGTCTTGGCATACCTCAGACCGTCTGAAAAGATCATGTATTTTTATACACAGAGACAAGGCAAATGTAACAACATGTTAGCTGTTTTGAAACCCAGAGTGTGGGGATATGGTTGATAACCGTATGATTGTCTTGAGTTTTCTGTTTACTTAAACTTTCTCATCACAAAGAATTTGGGGCAGGGTAGCCTTTTAAAAGAGTGTGGAATGATGATGGCAACAAATGTGCTTAACACAATGGATGGATGGATGGATTGTGATAAGAGTTGTATGAGCCCCCAATAAAATGATTTTTTTTTAAAAGTTGTGCAAACCTCAAAAAAAAAAAGGTTATCGCAAGCCAGCATCAGAAAGAAAGAAAAAATAGTGTGGTCCTTATTCAAAAGAGCATGTTTTTTCCCCAAAATACTTTCTGATCCTGGCTCAGACAGAATTCACACAGAGGTTAGAACCATGTCTCAAATAGACGCTGCTCTGCCCACAACAGACTTCTCTATGGAGGAGGAAAGTGGTTCCGTCTGGAACAGGACTAGATGGCCAAGTTCATCGTAGAGCCGACCCAGCAACTGCACCCTTATGACCTGAGGGTGAGCGTGCGGTGCCGGGGCTTTCTAATGTGCCATTGCCGTATTTGGTGGCAGTTATGCATTAAGCCCCCACCAGAGGAGTCAACCAGTCATACAATTAAGGGACCGCTGTTCACAGCACTCCAAAAATACTGCTGTGTTGTGCTGCTCCCACCGGAATGAGGACTGGCTTTGCAACCCCCATCTTACTAAAAAGAAGGGAGGAGGGGGGCTGTATTAGTCTGGGTACTTTAGAGAAACAAATCCACAGCAACTCATGTATAAGAGAGAGTTTTATGTAAAGAAAGCGTGCATCACGAAAACATCCCAACCCAATGCTGCCCAAGTCCATCATTAACCCATTAATCCCTGTGTCCAACACTAATCCACAAAGCCCTCCATCTCACAAAACAGAGGTAATGATGCCGACTGCAGGAGGAAAGCCGAGTCAGTGAATGTACAAGCATCTCAGCGCTGGCAGGGTCTCCGCACAGCTGCTCCAGCACCCAGGGCTGCATCGGGGTAGGTCCATGCGGCATCTCTGTCCTGTAGGAAGTCAGTCTTGCAAGTTGAAGCAGGGAACTGCTAAGGCAGCTGCACCCTGCTGCAACCATCACAAAAAGGCGAGGCTCACCAAGCCATTTATCCCTCCGCCCTTCAATTAATCCCACATGTGTTTGTCGGCCAGGTTGGCACCATTAACTAACTCTGGGAAAATAAAGCACGCACCCTCACCAATGGCCTGACTCATTGTTACACAGTTTAGTGGTGGTGAAATTGTTCTAA